TCAAGTGCAAGTTCCAGAGTCTCTTCTGACATCTATTTTGGTCTTTTCTTCCTTTTCTGTCTTTTAAATGACTTTTTTCTTTCTTCATTTTGATGTTCAGTGCATCAAATCTGTTCTTCATATTGTATCCAAGTTCAGGTGGGATATACACAAGGTCATATTTTTGTTCTCTTGTGTTTGTTTTAATTTTCTTAAGCTTAAGCTTGACTTGCATATGAGCAATTGCATATGAGCAATTGCTGGTCTTTCCAAAAGTCAGCTCCTGGCCTTGTTCTGACTGATGATATGAAGCTTCTCCATCTTCTCTTTCCAAAGATGTAGTTAATTTGATTCCTGTGCATTCTGTCTGGCAGTGGCTACGTGTATAGCTGCCATTTATGTTGTTGAAAAAAGGTATTTGCAATGAATAAGTTATTGGTCTTGCAAAATTTTATCATGCAATCTCTGGCCTCATTTCTATCGCCAAGACCATATTTTCCAACTACCCATGCTACTTCTCTGTATCCAACTTTTGCATTCCAATCACCAGTAATAATGACTACATCTTGATTGCATATTTGGTCAATTTCAGACTGCAGAAATTGGTAAAATCTTCAATTTCTTCATGTTTGGCTTTAGTGTTGATGTTTAAATTTGAATAATAGCAGTAATATTCTGGGGACTAGGATGCAGAAAATGAATACTGAAGTAAAAATGAAGTAACATCCCAGTGTTCCAGGAATTCATTGCTAATCTGTCTTAACTCTGACTGCCATCTGTATTACTTTGTGTCTTAACAATTCCAGCTTCAAGTTGTTTGCCTTGGTTTCTGTGGTCAGTTCAGATACTGGAGAATGAGGAATGATTACTATCACAGAGTAGACTAGAGATAAGACTACTTTATTCTTTTCATGTGGTACTCTCTTGTTTCTCAGTCCTGCATTAAATGGTTGACCCCTTCTCTTGGTGTTTTTTCTGAAATTTTGAAAGGCTTTTCAAAAATACTATTTCATTCCCTTTCTGCTGCTATCTTTACAATATTCATTATTGGGTTTTATATCTTTTAATATTATCTAAAGTGAATTATCTAGAGTGAATCTTCAGGAGGTCTGGTAGTATAGTACCTAAGGCACTTGACTGCTAACCAGAGGTTGCCAGTTCAAACCTACCAGCCACTCCTTGGAAGGAAGATGGGGCAATCTACTTCTGTAGTGGTACTGCCTCGGAAACCCAAGGAGGGGTCACTATGAGTCGGGTCTGACTCGATGGCATATAACAACAACAACAGAGTGAATCTTCTGTCATAACTCTTTTTTTAAAATTAGTTTTTCTGGATGTTTTATGTGTTTATTCTCCCAGATGGTCCACCCCCACTTTCTGAATTAATTCTGTAGGAATCTGATTAAAATTTTTATTCAGTTTATAATTGATTTATATATTATTGACAGTTTCACTATAGTAGGTTTTTCTCAATTTAAGTATAGGTTCTAATTTATAGCCCTTAGTAAAAGATTTATAGTTTTCTTAATACAGGTATCATCTGCTTATTTTTTAGTTGTGTGTGTGTGTGTGTGTGTGTGTGTGTGTTTATAGTATTCCCTAACTGGCATTGCTATTTCTTGGGGGAAATATTTTCAGATTGTTTCTTTGGCAAGATCATATTATCTGAAATGATAATTTGCCTTCTTTCTAATGCTGAAATATTTTATTCTTCTTACCTAATTGTACCAGCTAGGACTTCCAGAATGATGTTAACAGTTACGTTGATTGTGGGCATCAGTGTTTTGTGTCTGATTTTACTTTGAAATTACTTTGGTGTTAAGTGTGATACTGACTATTGCTTTGAGAAAGTTTTGAACAAATACTATAACAAGATTCTTTCTCTAACCAGGACTAATATCTTAAATTTTTGTATTATATACTAGGTTTATTTTATTGATTCTGTTTCCTACCTGGAATATATTGTTTTTCACAGGATATTTTCTATCATTTTGTTTAACTAGTCTCTCCTGGATCGCTATATCCAGGTTCTTTTCCAAAACAGATTTGATCATGTTGTACTAATGTTCCAAGAGCTTAATAGCACTGCACCATCTTTTCATGCTATGTAATGAAAAGTTCAAACTTCTTATACTGTTTACTGTTTATGATCTTTTTTTTAAATCAGAGCATATACCTTTCCAAATCTAACCTCTTTTGAGAACTGTGAAGAGTCTGAGATCTTACCCAGCTTGCAAGCTAATGTGTTAACCTGATGTAGTCCTGAATTCTGGTAGAAGACTCTAGATTCGTGGGTCAGAGTCAAGGACAATTTATTATAGCAGTAGTGATAGTCATAGTATCACCATTTATATATATTTTTATATATCCATTCCCCAAAGTCCAATTCCAGTGGAGTGATATAACAAGGGCCAAGTGATCCTGTACATGCAGTTGGTTGCATTACACTAGGGTAACCCAAACATGGAGTTCTGGTAGCATAGTGCCTAAGGCACTTGACTGCTAACCAGAAGGCTGGAGGTTTAAACCCACCAGCCACTCCTTGGAAGGAAGGTTGAGCAATCTACTTCTGTAGTGATACCACCTCGGAAACCCAAGAAGGGGTCGCTATAGGTCGGGTCCAACTTGACGGCACATAACAACAACAACCACCCAAACATCCTCTGGAATCTTGGCTTGCTTTTTCCTTTAATTTTTCCCTTCCATTTTCTTTCCAGCCTTCCTTTTAACGTCATTGTAATCATCCAAGGTGGATGCTTTCTTCCCTTTCCCCTGTTGTGGTCTTGTGTCTGTAAATACGCTGCTTATCAAGCTAGCACCCCCTACCCCACCTCCCATATGTGTTTCTCCTATTTCTGGATACTCTAGTGACCATTCCTGATTTGCACAGTGGCTTTGGTCTTTTCTTCTGTACGCATAATTTGATTAAGTCCTCTTGCCTTTCCTGCCATACTTGGCTTTGGTCAGTGTCTTAGTGTTTACAGAGTGCCTACAGAGACACTATTTCATTTAACCCTCTAGGGCAATGCATTAGTTACTGCATTAGTGAATGCATCACTTCAGCTGCAAGGAATTGATAACCTATCCCTAAATGGTTTTACAGACAGAATTTTTTTTTTACATGAAAAGCTTGGAGGTAGACAGTTGCTGGTGTTGATTCAGCTTTTCAACAACACCTTCTCCTATAAGCTTTTTCTCCTGTTCTTTCTACCATTTCTTTCTTCTTTATTTCTGTAAGTCCAAATTATACATGTCTTTTAAATTGTAAGCTCCTCTTCCTATACTCTTATAGGAACTAACCAAGTTAGAAAATGGTCTTTGTCACTCCATTACATATCTTCTTGTTAGCTGCTGTGGAGTTGGCTGCTGACTCCTAGTGACCCCATGCACAGTGAATCAGACAATTTTAATCCATAGGGCTTTTATTAGCTGATTAAAAAAAAAATAAAAAAGTCAGGGCTTTCTTTCTGTTGCATCTTAGTCAGGAAGCTCTCCTGAAACCTATTCAGCATTGTAGCAACCAACACCAAACCTCCACTGGCAGATAGGTAGTAGCTGTGCTTGAGGGATATTGGCTGGGAATTGAAGCTGAGTCTCCTGCGCAGAATGCAAGAACTCTACCATTGAACCACCAGTGCTTTATTATACATATCTTAATCTTCCCTAATAGGTTAGTAATTCCGTGTCTGTAGAGTACTTTTTGTCACCCTCTATGCAGTGCTTTTTTTTTTAAGGTAGATACACACCATTAGTTTACTTGGTAAACGAATGATGAAGAATAAGTGAACATACCCTTTAAGAAAACCATGTTACTAATAGCTAAAGCTGAAAGGAAAGATGTTGGCAGGAGTGTGACTATGGAGGTACAGATTTTAAGCAGATAACTGGGTCTCTCTGACATTTTCCGTAGTGAATTAAAAATGATTTAGTTTACAGGAATTAATTGTGCTTATTGCTTAAAGGAACACCTTTACTGTGTAAACTTGTTTCTGAGTGCTCGATTAATATTTCTTTACTGCGATCAGTTGTATGTTTGCATATTATCAAAATATTCTATTAATTATATGGGGAAATTAAATGGAAATTGTTTTTTCTTTCAGTGCTTAGATGATTATGAAGACGATGAAGCAGGGCAAAAAGAACGGAAACGAGAAGATGCCATTACACAACAAAACACGGTACAGAATGAAGCTGTAAGCTTATTAGATCCAGGCACTTCCTACCTGTTACAAGTGAGTATTTAAAAATACTAGGAAGTCACTAGGCATTTTAATAATAATAATTTGTAAATTATTATTAATAATTTTTCCAGTTTCATTTTGGTAACATCAGCTGACTTTAAGTATATTTAGTGAATTTACTACTGATATCTTCATTTCCAAGTATTTTTCAAGGCCCTCAACAAGACGGATTGATGTAGTGGCTGCACCGGAGGGCTCAGGTATAGCAAGGATCATGAGGTTGGTACAAAACCAGTCAGTGTTTCATTCTGTTGCGCATCGGATAGCTTTGAGTTGGAGATGACTCGATGGCACCTAAAAACAACAACAATAAATATTTTTTGACTTAAGCAGTGTAAATATTTATTGATTCATTAAAGTAAGTGGTATCAACTGTTAAAATGACAAAGGAAAATATTTATCTCCTTCCTTTCAAAAAAGTAAGAATTAGTAATTTTAAGTGAGTAGACCCATTCTGCTATAGACTGGTATTTGCATTAGGGTTACATAGAAACAAAAGTTGAATAGCAAATTTCTTCAGAGTCAAATACTTAAAGATAATATTAAAAACATATAGTATTATGAATTGCTAGAAATACCTATATTTCTGTGCAAATAATAAGGTTTTTTTTTTTTTTTTTTAAAAATTAACTCCATTTCAAATTAGCTGTTATTTTGGGCTCTTGTGACGTAGAAAATTGGGAATTGATGATATGTTGTTGTTGTTAGGTACTGTTGAATCAGTGCTGACTTATGAATAATAGAATGAAACACTGCCTGGTCCTGAGTCATCCTCACAGTTGTTGCTATGCTTGAGCCCATTGTTGCAACCACTGTGTCAATCCAACTTGTTGAAGATCTTCCTCTTTTTCACTGACCCTCTACTTTACTAAGCATGATAACCTTCTTTAGGGACTAGTCCCTGTGATAACATGACCAAAGTACAAGAGATGAAGTCTCGTCACCATCCTCATTTCGTAGGAGCATTCTGGCTGTCCAAGAAAGATTTGTTCATTTTTCTGACAGTCTATGGTATATTCAGTATTTTTGCCAACACCATAATTCACATGCATAAGTTCTTCTTCAGTTGATGAGATAAGCATGCCTTGTTGTTGTTGTTGTTGTTGTTGTTGTTGTTATTTGCCGTCGAGTTGGCCCCAATTCATAGCGACCCCTCCTTGGGTTTCCGAGGCAGTTATCACTACGGAAGTAGGATTGCCCAACCTTCCTTCCGAGGAGCGGCTGGTGGGTTTGAACCACCAGCCATTTATAAAGCAAATCAAGTTACAGAATCATTTCATATAAATTATAATTTGGGAATGATCTTGATATAATCACATCTTTAGGTTTTTTGTTGATATTTTGAGATATCTGGAAATTACTGGGGGTTTTTTTCCCCAGAAAAATGCTAACTTTATAAATGCATTTTATTATGATGTCACTTTATAAGGAGTTTCAGAGCAATCCATGCTTGTCCTCATATTACTGATGAAAAATAATGAAATATAAATCTGTCTGTTGATTTGCAATGGAATGAAGGTATTTGGCAGAAAGAGGTAAAGTATTTTTAGCTGCTTAGGAAGTGGGGATGCAAACTTGCTTTATTCTCTGCTCTTTGAGGCACAAGTATTGATGTAAAGATTCATATAGTGATGTAGATTCAACTGTTCTCTCACTCAAAATGCTGCTACTGTCAATGATAAGAGGAGCCTTCCTGGTGCACTGGTTAAACATTTAGCTGCTAACTTGGTGGTTTAAACCCACCAGCCATTCCATGGGAGAAAGATATGGCAGTCTGCTTCCATAAAGATTACAGCCTTTGAAACACTATGGAGCAGTTCTATAGGGTCACTGTGAGTCATAAGCTACTATACCATATAATAATTTCCCTGAAACTGTGATGATTATCACCTATAACATCAAAACCAAACTTGTTGCCATTGAGTCAAAGACCGTCAATGAGATTAATTGACACAGTGTCTGCAAAAGTGGGCTCAAACATAGCAACAGTTGTGAGGATGGTGCAGGACTGGGTGGTATTTTGTTATCTTGTACATACAGTTGCTGTGAGTCAGAAGTGACTCAGTGGTACCTAACAATGACAGCAAGCAGTGCTCTCCCAGCATCTCTTTGACTGTCCACAATTTAAATGATCTTTATATCATTTTTCTAACAAAATTTAAGTTAAGTTTGGGCCTATTCTAGTAATGATTTCCTGCAATATACATTCTTAATTTATTGGGATAGCGATAGTGTAGCATTTTTATTAAGAACTTAGGCTATAACAGCAACCAGAGGGGGGAAAAAAAAAACAAACGGGAAGAATTTAGGCTTTGGCTTCAGGTAGACCATGGCACTGACTCTGGCATACTCAAGTATCATCAGGTAGTGGCTTTTAGAAGGAGACCTATTTTCTTTCTGTCATGTGAGGGCTCCTGCTACTCACTGCTGGGGAACTAGGTGTTAGAACTCACAGGGTATTCAGATACATCCACCAATATGGAAAGTCTCAGTTTATCTGGTCTCACTGAGGAGGTTTTTGCCTTACCCAGTTTGTCATCTTTCCTGTAGCTTTTATTTTATAATCTCTGCCCAGGCCCACTCTTCATTTTCCCCCATTTTGGTTTGTTTGTTTTATTAATATTGGGGATGTGACTGACTGGGGACCTTGGCTCTAAATGTCTACTTTGTGAGTCTCTTTGCTTGGGATGAGAATGAGGCTCAGACACTGCCATAGCCTGAAATTGTCTCATTGAAGTTGGAGTAGGAACAGCAGCTGCTCTGTCTTCATAGTGATGTCTCTTTGACTTACTATGAAAATTCACATATTTGATTACTCATTGGAATCCCTGAGTGGTATAGTTAATGAACTCAGCTGCTAACCAAAAGGTTGGTCCACCCAGAGGTGCCTTGGAAGAAAGGACTAGGAATCTTCTCTTAAAAAACTAGCTATTGAAAAGTCTGTGGAACACAGTTATTCTCTGACATACATGGAGTCACTGTGAGTCAGAATCTACTCAAGGGCAACTTACTTATTTTCAACTTTTAATTCGTATTGGATAAATATTTGTTTAAACCTGTTGCTGTCAAATCAGTTCCAACTCACAGTGACCCTACAGGACAGAGTAGAACTTCCCCAGAGAGTTTCCAAGGATTTAACCTTTATGGAAGTTGACTGCCACATCTTTCTTCCTGGGAGCAGCTAGTGAGTTCATACCACTGGCCTTTCAGTTAGCAGCCAAGCACTTAAGCACTGTGCCACCAGAGCTCCTTAGATATTTGTTTAAAAAAAAACCATTGCCGTCAAGTTGGATCCAACTCATAGCAACCCCTCCTTGGGTTTCCAAGGCAGTATCACTATGGAAGTAGATTGCCCAACCTTCCTTTCGAGGAGTGGCTGTGGTTTTGAACTGTCACCCTTCTGGTTAGCAGTCAGGTGCCTTAGGCACTATGCCATCAGAGTTCTAGATATTTGTTTATGAGTCCAAAATTAAAAACAACAAAAAGAGAAAGAGAAAATATTGACTTTGTTGGTTGTTTTACAGCTTTCTTGAATAAGACAGAGAAATACTTTGTTTTCTTAGCATTGCCCGTAAGTCTGAGCCTTGCAGTTAAACAGATCTTTAAAAATGAAGAATGAAAGGGTAGTATGAATGTGGCCTAACAAGATGCTTTGTGGTGATAGATTAGAAATTATTAAGTGTCTGCTTTACATTTTTCAAACAATGTGGGATACTGGTAATTGAAAATGAGCATTTAGATAGTTATTTTAACTGTGATTGAATACGTAATCACATTTTCCTAGATAATCACATCAATTTTAAAAGTAATAAATTATTTTATGATTAAGTAATACATGGTCGGTTGAACATTTTGAAAATACTAAAACATACATAAAGAGACACTCAGTTTGGTCTATTTCTTTACTATTCATTTTTCTGTGCACCACTTACTGTATTTTGAATTTTAAGCTTAATATGTATGTTGTTGTTGTTGTTAAGTGCCGTCGAGTCGTTTCCGACTCATAGCGACCCCATGCACAGCAGAACGAAACACTGCCCGATCCCACACCAGCCCCACAATCCATGCTATACTCGAGCCCATCATCGCAGCCACTGTATCAATCCATCTCGTTGAAGGCCTCCCCCTCTTTCGTCGACCCTCCACCCTACCAAGCATGACATCCTTCTCCAGGGAATGGTCCCTTCTTACAACATGACCAAAATAGGTGAGACGAAATCTGGCCATTCTTGCTTCCAAGGAGCATTCTGGCTGCACTTCCTCCAGGACAGATCTGTTAGTTCTTTTAGCAGTCCATGGTACTTTCAGCATTCTTCGCCAGCACCACAACTCAAAAGCATCAACTCTTCTTCGGTCTTCCCTATTCATTGTCCAGCTCTCACATGCATACAAGGCGATTGGAAATATCATGGCTTGTGTCAGGCGCACCTTAGTCCTCAAGGAGATATGTATAGATAGATAATTTTCTTGTGTATCCTCCCAGAGAAATTTTAAACTTTGAGCTTATCTGTATACATACACACACACACATAAACCTTTAAGTTTATACGTATGTATATAATATATATGAGTTCTAGTAGCATAGTGCCTAAGGTATTTGACTGCTAATGAGGTTGGTAGTTCAAACCCACCAGCCACTCCACAGAAGCAAGACTGGGCATTCTAATTCTGTAAAGATTTACCACCTCGGAAACCCAATGGGGGTCACTATGAGTCAGACTTGACTCGATGGCAGTGGGATTTTTTTTTTTTTTTTTCCCCACACACACACACACGTGTCTTAAAGTTTAAAATAGCTCTGGAGGATACACAAAACAAACCATTAATTGCCTCCAGGGAAGGTGACTAGGTGGCTGAGGAGACTTTTTACCAATATACCCTTTTATACTTTGTGGATTTTTTTTTTTAGCATGTGACTATATGCGTTCTTTATATATATCTGCAAATCATTACAGACACACATTGCCACATCTTTCTCCCACAGAGTGACTGGTGGGGCTAAACCATGACCTTTCAGTTAGCAGCCGAGTACTTTTACCACTGTGCCACCAGGGCTTCTTAAGCACAACACATCTATCAAAAATGGGAAATTAAAATTGATCCATTTCTACCATCTAATATTCAGATCTACCATCTAATATTCAGATCAGGAGCTCTGGTAGCATAGTGGCTAAAGCACTTGACTGCTAACCAGAAGGCTGGCAGTTCAAACCCACCAGCCACTTCTCGGAAGGAAGATTGGGCAATTCTACTTCCCTAGTGATACTGCCTCGGAAACCCAAGGAAGGGTTGCTATGAGTTGGGGCCGACTCAATGGCACATAACAACAACAACAACAACAACAACAATATTCAGATCTCATTCAGGTTTTGTCAGTTATCTTAATTAATGTCTTATTTTTAGCAGTAATTCAAAATCAACATTTATTTGGCAAGACTTCAGTTTCTTTCAGTCTGCAATAGTACATATTCATCTTAATGTGTAGTTTTAAAGGTTATAGATCAGTTATTTTGTGATATTTCCCTCAATTCGAATTATCTAATGATTCCATATAATAAGATTCAGATGATGCCTCTTTGGTAAGAAATATCTCACAATTGATGCTACATTCTTCTCATTGTATCTTACCAGGTAGCACCTGATTTTAATTTGTCCCATTCTTGCAATAATCATTTTGGTCATATGAATAAGGTCCTGTTTGCCAGGCTTCTGCACTGTAGAATTGTACTTTTGCTCCTTAGTTAGTATTATGTGGCTTTCAACTATGTAGATATCTTAATCCCCACCAAACTTTCTTCCTTTCTTCTTCCTTGTCTATCACCCATTTCTTTGCCTTTTGCAGCTCCTAGATGCTGTTTGTATTCCTTGGCCCATGGCCCCTTTCTTCCTTCCTCAAAGCCAGCAGTGGTGGGTTGAGTCCAAAAGGTCAACAGTTCAAACCCACCCACAGGTGTTTTGGAAGAAAGCCATGTCAATCTGCTTCTGAACTTGAAAACTCTGTGTTTTTTTCTATTCTGCACACATTGGCTCACTGTAAGTCACAATTGACTCAGTGGCAATGATTTTTTTTTTTTTTTTTGGTCTTTGGCATTCTGCCTTTACATCATCATTACTTATTTTGATACTTAGATTGTTTTGGCTGGTGGGAACCTCTTCAAGTTTTTGTGTCCTTTTGATATGTCTCTGTCATTTTTGGAGCATTTGTTTGTTTTCTGGCATAAGAAGATACTATAGACTCAGTGTCTTTTCTGCCCAAGCCTTAGAATCAACCAATCAGTCATTTTCCTTTTATTAGAAAATGATATTTTGAAATCAAGATCTGCAGCCTTGATGTATTTATTGTTACTGAGGTGTCACCATTCCCAGTCCCTTTCTGTGTACCAAAAAGAAAAAAAAAGTTGCTGTCAAGTTGATTCTGACCCATAGCTAATGAGTTTATTTGAATAACTTGAGTATTATTTTGCTATGTTCTGTAGGGCTTATGTTTGTCTGATCTTATTTCACATATGCTTTTATATTTGCTTATGCTTTACAAGTTCTGATCTACCACTGCACCTATAAAGACAGTGTTCATGGGGATTTCCTTATTGACCATCCTAAGCTTAAATGAAGCAGAATAGTTTATTTAAACTTACACAAAGCAGTTAGTGCTTTGCCAACATTTTTCAGCTCTACATAGGTCTCTCCTCCTTACTTTAGTAACATAAGCCATCCTGTTGTAAGGAAGATTACTTCAGGAAAACTGTATTTGAAATCAGTTGTATAACAGGCTTTGGGGCTGTCAGAAGACCTAATTACGTAATCTTTTAAACTTTTAAGACAAGTATCAGTCTTAGCTATTGTACTTTTCACAAGCAGTTTCAGTGGTACTGCTGTGCCTTTATTTTTCTACACTTGAATGGAATTGTCAGCTTTGAGTGTTATAGTAATTATTAGCTTGTTCCAATTGTTTGGAAATCCTTGTGACCACAGGACTATAGAGGCTTTTAGTTAACAAATGGAATTTATATATTTATAATATTTTGTTCTAATTTTAAGGACATGAAGCATTTCCTCCTTAAAATTATAAGAGTGTCTTTCAGTGTACCATATAATCGCACTTTTAATTCAAGACATACCCGAATTTCACTTTTGAGCAAGGGCATAAAACTCACTTTAAATCCCACCTGTTAATTGCCTATTTTGAATACATAAGAGAAGCAGGCTACCACTTCTTCCATTCTCTAATAATAGTGATAGTAATACTAACACCAACACAGTATAACCTGTAAATATGGATCATATTCATTATTAAGGTATGTAACTTAATTATTAAAGTCATAGTGAAAGTAACATTTAGCTACAAAATGCATAATCTTCAATAAAAAGACATATTGTAGTCCATCAGTAAATAAAAAGCTACAGTGTTGTCTGTTTGCTTCATAATCTTAACTATTGAAATATCAGTTATATAGAAGTAAGAAACAGATTAAATTTTTATTGCTTATATATCTTGGACATGAATGAACATAGAGTGACTTTGTCCAGTACTCAGAGTTCCAGTTGTATCAGTTGTACCAAACTAGCTATATAGAAAATACTGTGTAAAATTTGAGATGACTATTTATTAAATTATTTTTAAATAAACTGATATTACTATATGACTTTCTATTAATATGCTTAATTTGAAACTTGTTGATACTAACTTTCAATCATTTATAGTTAGGCCAAAGTTTAAAATTAGTGTAATGCCACTGTAGTTTAGTGTTGCTGAAAAATTCCCCCCATTTCGTAGTTATATATTTCTCAAAATTCTTCTCTAAATGTGTATTAGTTGCAAGGTAAATAGTTTTCCCACTCAGATGGTTAGTGCTGATTGGTTGATGGTAATCTTCAGCAATCTTTTTTTTTATTTTTATTTTTTGGTCGCTTGGAATGAACACACTTTTCATTTTTAGTTATGTATAGTCTTTAAAAATAAGCATGAATCACCAATATATATGTGATGAATTATAGCTCCCCTGCTCCCTGCCACCTATCCCCCCTGCCCAATAAAATAAAAAGAAAGGCATAAAAAAGACTGGGGCAGGGAGGAGTATGGTGGCACATAATGGTTGTGGTGTGGTTTTTTTGCTCACAGACTTCCAAAAGGATTTGAGTTGGCTGGGTGATTAGTGATATATTCCACTTGTTCGTTTTTCTGAACTTAAAAAAATAATTCCATATTGAAAAACATTGTTTAAAGTGATTGTTGTTGACTGAAAGAGCAGATGGAGAGTCTTGCTTGTTTTGTTTGACCAGCAGTATGAATTTCCAACGAAGTAATGGTAATTGCTCCCCATTTTCTTTCAAAATTAGATATTCTCCATCAACTGTTTTTATATAATCAGTAATTTCTGTGCTTGTACGCGCACACACACACACACACAAACTGATATGTTACTATTTTCACTTTACAGGAGCCATCTAGAACAGTTTCAGGCAGATACAAAAGGTAAGAATCCTTAAGTTATGACTTACAACACTGTAGACATTAGTGTAATGTCTGTCTGATTATGGCTTTACTAAGTAGAACTGTTTCACACCGCTTTTTAAAAGTTAGAAACTTTAATATTGTGCTCTTAAAAAGAAGTTACATTGTAGGCAGGCATGTAATGTCTGTTTTACTGCGGCTTATTCTTCAGTCTTTGAAAACTGCCCACATCATGAATTTGTACGAGCCTGATGAATTTAGCAAAATGGAAACTTTGAATGTCTTTCTGTCATGTATTTAAACATTGAAAGTACAAATTGACCACTTATACACTGAGTGGTAGCACCTTTACCAGAGAAACTGTGGTTGGTTGTGCCTATGTGTAGGTAGCAGAATAGAAAATCAACCACTGGCTAATCTTAGTATGATTAATTGAACCTTGTTCTCCCCCTGTTTTAATGAGATAACTGATTTAACAAAAACCTTGTAATCAAGGTAAGATTTCTGTTACTAATATTTCTCTTTGACACTTTTCAGCTTTCAAAGACTTAGCTATGTTCATTCAGTGTTTTAAAACAAGAAAAATGTTTTAAGTTTCTGGTCATTATTCACTGATTCACAGCAACTCCTAGTTTTAGTACTATTTAAAAAGCAAAAACAAAACAAGCGAAAATAAAAACAAGCTCCTAGATTCTATATCTAAAATTGAAAATTTCTTCTCTGGTATGAATTGTTTTGCATCATCAGTTCATTACTTTCATTAATCTACCAGCAAGTTGTAGCAATGACTAGGGAATAGATGTTTCCTTTTGATGATGTCTGGTGACTAATGGGGATGAAAGAATAGGAGGAATGGGCTAAAGGATAGAAATTTTGGCATCATGTGCTAGAAAATATTTTCAGTAAACCAAGATATACAGCTGGAAAGAATTCTTACAGTGTTATTAGAGGGTTCAAGCACCCAGGAAACAACTAGTTTGAATGTGTACTTTTATAAATTATGAGTTAAATATTTAACTTTTTCTCACAAATATCAAGAATGTACTTTTGGAGCATCAAATCTGTTAAACACTCAGTCTGCTTATGCTGTATTTTTAAAATTAAGGCCACTCGGCTATCAAGAGCATCACGTATTCCATTTTCTTTATATTTTTCCCTTTTTTAAAAAAAAATGTTTAATTTTGGGAAGCTGGTAGAGGGGTCATAGAATTTCTGAAACTCAAGATTTAGGAAGAATCACTGTATCATTGTTACATGATTATGTTTTTTCCCCCAATATGTTATTTTCTTAATTGTTTGCTTGGTTAAGTTTATAATGCATTGGTTAAAATTAAAAAAAGAAAAAAGGCAAGACAATTCTGAAGGACTTGTGAAAGGCATGATTAAGTAGGATATGTAACTTACCTTTCTCATGTAAGTATATAATTCACCCATCTGGAAAACAGGTTTTATTATTTTCACATATTAATTAGCTGGTTGTTTTGTTTACACAAATGTGTTTAATGTAGTATTAATTATTTTATATATAAACACAAGACATATTGTAATCCATCAGTAAATAAAAAGCTCCAGTGTTGTCTGTTTGCTTCATAATCTTAACTATTGAAATATCAGTTATATAGAACTAAGAAACAGATTAAATTTTTATTGCTTATATATCTTGGACATGAATGAACATAGAGTGACTTGGTCCAGTACGTCAGAGTTCCAGTTGTATCAGTTGTACCAATTCTATAATTCATCACATATATATTGGTGATTCATGCTTATTTTTAAAGACTATATATAACTAAAAATGAAAAGTGTATTCATTCCAAGCTACCAAAAAATAAAAATAAAAAAAAAGATTGCTGAAGATTACCATCAACCAATCAGCACTAACCATCTGAGTGGGAAAACTATATATATATATTTTTAATACTATATATATATTTTTAATATAAAATAATTAGTACTACATTAAACACATTTGTGAAAACAAAACAACCAGCTTTATTGGGAGCTCTGGCATAGTGGCTAAGGCACTTGACTGCTAACCAGAAGACTGGCGGTTCAAACCCACCAGCCACTCCTCGGAAGGAAGATGGGGCAATCTACTTCCGTAGTGATACCACCTCGGAAACCCAAGGAGTGGTCGCTGTGAGTCGGGTCCTATTGGATGGCACATAACAACAACAACAGTATTTTATTAAGTAATATTTATGCAAAGTTGTAAGTGCTCCAAAGCTCCAGTGCCCTACCCTCCTAGGTAACACAGTAGATCACATTTGTATAGTCATTGTTTGCAAAGCACCTTCACATACGTTTCTATAAGAAGTCAGCAATAGTCTCATTAGGCACAGAGAAGGCTAGTATCTTCTTTCCCAGATGAGGAAACTGGCTTTAGTTCAGTAAACCTTTTATTATACCACATTCCTTTTGAACAGAAGTTGGTTGAGTTTACAAGAAAGAGAATATTTTAAGTTTTTGTTCTTGTTAAGAGTTTGAACAGATCAAGATATTAATGTCAGGAAGGAATTACCATCTTGGCTAACATGTAGATATATAACCCTATTGCTCTGGATCAAATCCAGGCTCTGCTCAGCATGACTCATGGTAGCCAATAAACAAGAGACCAAGGTGGGAGAATAGGCACTTTTATTTCTTTGGCCAAGGAAGGAACAGTTGGGGTTAGTGCCTACAAGACTACTCCAGGGAAGGAAGATTCCTTTAAGCGTCTCTTATATATAGTTTACAGAATAGGAAATTGTCATACAAAACTATGGTTATACATATTTCTGCATCCTACGCAGACACAGTTAGGGTTGCATACTTCTCTGTCTGTTGCATGTATACAAAATGGTGCCTAAACTCCACCCGGAGGTGGAGAGGTTAAAGGGACTTAATGACCTGAAGGGTTACCTTAGGAACTAAGATGGCTGCCAAACAGACTTAGGCTGGTTTGGGCTAGCCTGGGGAAAACTAAACCAAAACGAAACTCACTGCCATCAAGTCAGTTCCGACTCGTAGCAACACCCTTTGGGTTTCCGAAGCTGTAAATCTTTATGGAAGTAGATCGCTCCATCTTCCTTCTGCAAAGAAGCTGGTGGGTTTGAAGCGCTGACCTTCTGGTTAGCAGTCAAATGCCTTATCCACTATGCCACCAGAACTCTTTAGCCTGGGGAGGTTGGGGGCAAATAAAATAAGGGGAGGGGAGTTGGCTAACTTAGCTATCCTGCTTATCTGTAGGGCCTGTATGTTCTTGTCTTACCATTTCAGTTCTGTAAAATTTCATGTTATTGTAGTTTTATAACTGTAATTCATGCAGCTTTATCGGGACTTTTCTTCTCATGATTCTTTGTGATTACTGAAAATGAAAAGGGTAGAATTTTTATACAATTTAGAAAAATAGTCTTCATATGAAAAAGCAGTAATACTCACTGTTGAAAATATTCTTTTTAAATGTACAAAATTAGGTTTAGAAAAACCCATGCAAAATCCTACCATGCAAATCAATCACTGTTAACATTATTTTTCTTTTTTACTTCCCATATATTTTTCAAGCATTTTATTTGTTGTGTAACTGTGAGTATAACAGACATAGATTTGTATTATGATATGCCCCCTACTTAATGTAACACAGGTATATTGTTGGTGTTAGGTGTCATCAAGTCACCTCCAACTCATAGCGACCATATGTACAACAGAACAAAATACTGCCCAGTCCTGTGTGAGCTTCACAAACCCTGCTATACCTGACCCCACTGTTGCAGCCACTGTGTCAGCCCATCTCACTGAGGGCCTTCCCCTTTTTCATTGACCCTCCACTTTACCAAACATGATACCCTTCTCCAGGGAATGGTCTCTTCTGACAACATGACCAAAGTAGGTCAAATGAAGTCTGGCCATTCTCACTTCCAAGGCATATTCCCCTGTACTTCTTCCAGGACAGATTTGTTAGTTCTTTTGGCAGTCCATGATACTTTCGTATTCTTCTCCAACACCACAACTCAAAAGCATCAACTCTTCTTCAGTCTTCCTTATTCATTGTCTAGCTCTCACATGCATATGAGGTGATTGAAAATACCATGGTTTGCATTAGGTACCTTACTCTTCAAAGAGACGTCTTTGCTCTTCAGCACTTGAAAGAGGTCTTTTGCAACAGATTTGCCCAGTGTAGTATGTCGTCTGATTTCTTGACTACTGCTTCCATTGGTGTTGATTGTGGATCCAAGTAATATGAAATCTTTGACAATTTCAATCTTTTCTCCATTTATCATGATGCTGCTTACTGCTCCAATTGTGAGGATTTTCATTTTCTTTGTTGAGGTATAATTCACACTGCAGACTATAGTCCTTAATCTTTATCAGTAAGTGCTTCAAGTCATCTTCAGTTTCAGCAAGCAAGGTTGTGTCATCTGCATATTACAGGTTGTTAATGAATCTTTCTCCAGTCCTGATGCTATGTTATTCTTCATATAGTCCAGCTTCTTGGATTATTTGCTCAGCATACAGATTGAATAAGTATGGTGAAAGGATACAGCCCTGATGCACTGCCTTCCTGATTAGAAATCATGCAGTATCTCCTTGTTCTGTTTGAACTACAGCCTCCTGGTCTATGTATAGGTTCCTCATGAGCACAATTAAATGTTCTGGATTTCTCATTCTTCTCAGTGTTATCCATAATTTATTATGATGCACATAATCGAATGCTTTTGCATACTCAGTAAAACACAAGTAAACATCTTTCTGGTATTCTTTGCTTTCAGCCAAGATCCGTCTGACATCAGCAACGATATCCTTCATTCCACGTTCTCTTCTGAATCAAGTTTGCATTTCTGGAAGCTCTCTATCAATATACTAGTGCAACCATTTTTTTTTTTAGTTGTGATTTGGGTGAAAATTTACAGAGCAAATTCACTTTCCATACAGCAGTTCACATACACTTTGTCTCATGACACTGACTACAATTTACCCCAATGCAATAGCTCCCTTCCCACTTCCTCCTGATAGTTATCTCTTCCCTGTGTCCATTCCTCCAT